TCTTAGGCTGTAGCTCTAGTGGATTTTCATCTACCTGTATAGTATAATTGCAGTTGCTGTCTAGCATTGTGGTTTTGTTTGAATTACTTACATACCATACTCAAAATACAACTAAAGAAGTTTTGCCTAGATTTCCATGACAACTGATAGGCAAGTAGGATTTTGTGGTTGGAGTGAGTAACCTGGGTATGTGTGCTGGCAGAGTAGTGTAGCATTGAATTTTACGAGTGAGCAGTAGTATTAATAAATAGTGTATTTTATATTGTATTCCATATATTTTGTTGTTTGCTGTTTCATTTTGTTTGTAGCTGAAAGAAACTGGGTGGAGTTTATTATTATTATTATTGTATAGAGAGCTACATATATATACAGTATGTCCATATATTCAGTTGTTTCCTACAGCAGTGTTTTCCAGTACTTTACTCTCTGATAAGAAAGTATAATACATACTCCAAGTATTGAAATACACGCCATCGTGTTGGGATTCAATATTTCGACATTAATTATGTCATCATCAGGAATGATTAATTATGTCATCTAGACGACCGAAAATAACCTCTGAGGCATATTAGGCAACCAATTATTTCTTTTTCTCTTATTTTTATTTTTTTTTAATCAGTGACAAGAATAAACCACCACACCCCCTTCTAAATCCGCGCCTGTTATATATTTTATAGAAAGAGGGGGGGTGGGTGAATGTGTGTTGAATAATACGATATTCCCTGCTGTTGGATCATGATTCTTTCCTTATTTTCAGCAGCTTTAATTAATGGATATCGACTTACTAAAATGTCAAATAATTAGGCTTCCTTGGTGTACATCACCCTGAAACTAAAAAGTAAGCACAATCTTTCTTTTTCTTCTTATACTGTACTAACCAAACCGAGCCTCTGCTATCAAATGAATTCTTTGGCATACAGCTGCTGTAGCCTTATATACGGCGATGTATGCAAAATAGGCTCAAGATTGGACTTAACCCATCATCTTCATTTTTATTGGTCGTTCAATTTCTAATTTCTTACCAAAAGCTTTTTCCCTCAAAATCTATCTTAGGCTGTAGCTCTAGTGGATTTTCATCTACCTGTATAGTATAATTGCAGTTGCTGTCTAGCATTGTGGTTTTGTTTGAATTACTTACATACCATACTCAAAATACAACTAAAGAAGTTTTGCCTAGGTTTCCATGACAACTGATAGACAAGTAGGATTTTGTGGTTGGAGTGAGTAACCTGGATATGTGTGCTGGCAGAGTAGTGTAGCATTGAGTTTTGCGAGTGAGCAGTAGTATTAATAAATAGTGTATTTTATATTGTATTCCATATATTTTGTTGCTTGCTGTTTCATTTTGTTTGTAGCTGAAAGAAACTGGGTGGAGTTTATTATTATTATTATTGTATAGAGAGCTACATATATATACAGTATGTCCATATATCCAGTTGTTTCCTACAGCAATGTTTTCCAGTACTTTACTCTCTGGACAACCGAAAATAACCTCTGAGGCGTATTAGGCAACCAATTATTTCTTTTTCTCTTATTTTTATTTTTTTTAATCAGTGACAAGAATAAACCCCCTTCTAAATCCGCGCCTGTTATATATTTTATAGAAAGAGGGGGGTGGGTGAATGTGTGTTGAATAATACGATATTCCCTGCGGTTGGATCATGATTCTTTCCTTATTTTCAGCAGCTTTAATTAATGGATATCGACTTACTAAAATGTCGAATAATTAGGCTTCCTTGGTGTACATCACCCTGAAACTAAAAAGTAAGCACAATCTTTCTTTTTCTTCTTATACTGTACTAACCAAACCGAGCCTCTGCTATCAAATGAATTCTTTGGCATACAGCTGCTGTAGCCTTATATACGGCGATGTATGCAAAATAGGCTCAAGATTGGACTTAAACCATCATCTTCATTTTTATTGGTCGTTCAATTTCTAATTTCTTACCAAAAGCTTTTTCCCTCAAAATCTATGCGGACCAATAAGTAAGCACTCACTGTGATATAATTGGTTGAGTCCGAACTCGTATAGTGTAGCACTTTAGCAAGTGCAGGCGGAACGATTTAGGCTAAGCCAAAATTTGTCCAGGCCGGACCAATATTATCCAAGGAGGACTGATTTTGACAGGCCAAAATCGGTCCCCCGGACAAATTTTAGCGGCTAAAATCGGTCCCGGACCAATTTTGGCGTGACAGGAACATGGAGGTATTTTTGGGCCTGTTTCTGCTGCCAAAAAAATACCGTATATAAGGAATTTTTAAAATACGGTATATTTTTTTGCAGCAGAAACGGGGCTCGTAAAAATATACCATATTTTTTATACCGTATTATTCCGGTATTTTGCAACAGATACCGTATTTTTCATACCCCATTTCTGCTGCCAATAAAAATACCGTATTTTGTGCCGACTCTTGACATGATGTCAAGAGCCAGAGCATAACATGGGTGGGTTGTTTTGATTTTTCTGTCGTGGAAAAGCGAAAAATAATGTGAAATGTGGACTGAAAGTACTACATTATTAGCCAATGCTAAATAACACTAATAATTTCTAGGCTGTAGCAGAAGTTAGGGTGTAAAACTTCCTTCGTTGCAACTTTTAATTATAGATGAAACTAAAATTACAAAGTTCTTTAAAGAAACCATGTTTATCGTGAGCAGAATAAACTCACTACACAGGTCAATCTAAACTTCTGTCTAACGAAAGACATTTTGGGTAAAAGAGGACCTTTTAAACAAGACCACCCAAGAAGTACTTTTAGCAGAAACGGGACGCTGGATTTCAGATACCATATTTTTTTGATATGGTATATTTTATACCGTATTTTTAGGAAAACAGCAGAAACAGGCCCATTGAGAAGGAGATCACTCGAAAAAGCTACGCTATGCAGCGCTATGCAAATGAACCAAGATCAAAGCTGCCGCAGCGGGTGAAGAACGTTTGCGTGATGCCTTTGAAGTCCGATGTGTTCCCCGCCATCAAATTTTTACCAAAAAATTATTGAACATGGGAAAATGGAGAGCACCTTCTTTTCTCGATGCGCACTACATACAGTCAATCACTATGGCTGCACAATCGTTTCCATTTTGAAGCTGATACATTTATCTCTCATAAAATATCAAACATATTAATATTGTCATGATAATGCCACTAAGGCATATACTGCCCTCTATCTGGAAGTAGTACAATATGGTGAATAAATATGGAGGCCTGCGTTACTTCACATGGAAACTACAATCTGTGTTAGTCTGAGTTATTGAACTCCATTGCACACATGCACATTAATGGAACATTTACATGACCTTTAAAAGTATAGTATATTTCAACTTCAATTTTCATAAATTGGCCAAAATTTGCTAATTCTAATTTTAACAGATATTAATTAATAAATGATTGAGGATTATATTAAACTAAGTCATTTTAGGGTTAATGAGGGTTAACTATTCGAAAAATCAATCCAAAATCTGAGTATTTTTCAGTTTTACGCTGACTTAGCTTTATAGTCGAACCAACCAATCTTTAGACAGAATTATAATGAACACAGAAGTAATTTTAACATAAATGTTTTACAGAATCTGTTCCTGAAATATACAAATAATAACATACTAAAAGTCCTAAAAAATCTAATCAGGGGAACATTGTTCATTATAAAGATATTTAATGGATTAAAATCAATCGCTTTATTGCACAACTGCTCTGCTGGAAGCGTATAAATGCATGTTGTTGAAGTTGTTGCTAACAAAAAAATGTGAATTATAGGGTAATACGCCCGCGCGCGATCCAATGGCGGGGAACACATAGGTTTGTCGCGTCAAAGGGATCTGTTGCCGAGTGATCTTCTCAATAATACCTCCATGGTAGGACACACAGTCAAAAGTAAACCGGGTTCCATTTTTATTTAATTGAAATGGTTTTGTGGGAGAATAACAGCTGGCCATTTTCACTACTGATTTGATGTATATTCTTGGATACTAAATTGAAGTCAAATTGATATAAACATAATAAAACCAAAAACACATGATACTTAAGATAATATAGGCAGGCCTATTAAAATTTCAGTGACCAAAGTATGTTATACTGAATGTTAGTACCTGACAGTTGCTTTGTGTAAAATTAAAACATTTTTCACAGACTCAGGTCTTTTTGGTTTCACGGGGAGGAATGATAATAATATGTATGTATGTATGTATGTATGTATGTATGTATGTATGTATGTAATTATATTTATAAAGCGCATAACACCGGGGTCTCTATGCGCTGACACATCAGAGAGAGAGAAAAAAAATATATATATGAACCTTCTATTCAGTGTCCAAGTGTCATGTGCAAAACAGATAAACAAACAAACAAACCGTGCATGGTGAAGTACAGGGTAATAAAAAAAAAGTATACTACAAACAGCAGCAGGTGTAAAGGGCGTTTCGTTTATTTACACTCCTAATGCCGAGCATATGGGTGCACTTGTCTGTGAAATCTGTGAGTAAATCCGTGAGTATTGTTCATCTGCTGTAGTAAAACTGGCAAATGGTAAATTATCTGCGAGTCTCATGGTCAAGTTGGGAACTATGCACAGATATTCCAAAATAAGCTAAAATGAGAATCATAATTTTATTATGAAATCTTTCAGGTTAAGGAAGGACTAGGTCTTCAAAACGAAATGTCAGATTTAAATGATTAATAAATGAATACCATTTTATAGTTCTAATTTTACTGTTTAACACTTTATTAATATCTAAAAATCAAATTTTGCAAGGAGTAACTGGCTTGGCTTAAAATAAAAATCTTAATAAATAAACTATTGATTTTGGAATCTTTGGAAGGTGTTTTCAAAACCTACATGGCTGATATCCAATGAATTAAATATTCTTTGCTAATACTCAACCAAGTACCATCAAATAAACTCAAAAACTCAATTTTGAATTCTTCCTACAAAGAGCTGTTACAGAGCCGGTCACATTTGACAAACTGGGTTTTACAACTTTTTTATCTCAGTAATTTTGCATGCTCAGCAAACAAGGTGTCGGCAACTTAGAGCCGGCAATCTGACATTCGGCAAACTGGTTTTTGGCAATCTGGCCTAGATCCCTGGTAACTGATGAAGTATAGAGATTTACACATGATACATACTGTATTATATTATATACTGAATATTCACCTAATATTCTGTAATTTGATCACTGTGTCCAGAGGTATCTCGGTTATGATAGAGAAGGTACCGTATACACTCATTTCATTTATTATTTTCAGGCAATATAAAATACAAAAAAAAAAAAAACACAAGTCTGAGGATAACCTAAAGTAAACTTAATTACTATCGAGAGGCTCTCCAAACAGAAACAAGACAACAGATAAACAATTCACATTCGCGTATAAGATGCGGCTTAAAGTAGCAAATTATGATTTTAAAAAAAACAGAGGGTTGTCTTATACGTGCGACATACAAATATTAGATTTTTGAAATCATTTTCATCTTATGTGTAACTCGTCTGTAACATGCAAACTTACTACTACAATGAACCTACTGAATGTTAGTGTGAATTTGAATGATTAATATATAAAAGCCCATAAAATGAAGATTAGCCCGACATTTGACTTTGTTTTTAGCATATAGAGCAGCAAAAAGTGTGAACTCCTGCAGTGAAATGGGATGTGGTCGTCATAATATGCCCGACATACAAAAATTGTCCAAAGACCTCCTACGCGAATATATAGGGTAAGGGTTGACAACAGCTATGGACACTAACCATTACTGAGATAGTGAACAGTACCATATTGCAGCCACTGCTTAATTTGATTAATTAAATACGTATTTATGGGATTAATTAAATTTCCCCACTTGAACTTGAAAAATTTGCTATTCCATGGTTATTCAACTACCAGAGAATCTTTCAGCTCTCAAGATAACAAAATTATAAAAAAAAAAAAAAAAGCAGTGAATAACTCCACTTTCCTCCTGGTTGGAATTCATTGGGAGGTGGTCCTAGACATCAAACTCTTTAGGAAGTAGAATTCACCACTTCCACGTCAAACGTTGTTGTATATTATGAAGCTTAGCCCTTTTATCTCATAGGGACACATATCGGCCAATCAGATCATTGAGAATGTACATGTATCAATACACGATAATACCACTTGGACAAGACCAGAGACTAATGCATCTGAGCTACTGTATGAATTCAATCAAGCCCATGGACAAGGATTCTAGACAAAAGTATTCTTTTAAATTATTACATATCATTGAACACCATCATACAGAAAGTGTCTGGGAAATGTTATGGCCTTAGCGAGGACCCCAGCCATAGGACAGTGATCACAAAAAAAAGTTTTATTCTTTTTACAGTTTACCAAGAATGGCTGAAGTAGATGAACAGCCTGCATCAAGCAGCACCACGATTGGAATTCAACCTGTATCAGGCAGTCGTACTCCAATTGGAATTCATGAGCAGGGTATTAGCAAGGAAATAGATGAATTCGGTTTTAGAAAATTATTACTAAACATTGATAGGAATCTAATGGAGAATGATATCTTAGCTCTGAAGTACTTATGTCTAGATAAAAACATTGGTCTTAGCCATGGTGAGTTGGAGAATGTTAACAGAGGTTTGGATTTACTGGAGAAACTAGAGAGGAAAAGATTGCTTTCTAAATCGAAATTGGAAGTACTCATTGAGTTGCTTGGTTTGATAGAGCGTTATGATCTTAAGCTTAAAGTTGAACAATGTTTAGATTTACAACAAAAGATGAAAGGAATTCAGGCAAAGAAAATTTCATCATACAGGTAACATTAATTTAATCTAATATTGTTTAATGCATTTTCTTGATCTTTTAATTAAAATATAATGTTTTCAGTCAATATTTCTTTGTTGTAACTGCTGTTTTTTTTTGGTTTTTTTTGGGGTGTTTTAATGAGCAATAAATAACTCGGATACTGTAAAATACTCTGTATTTGCATATTATTTACCAAATATAAAATTACTAATTCATGAAACAAATTCTGTACCTAAGTAACAGACCGTGTTACACATAATGTTAATTTTTTTATTTAAACTAAAAGTTATTGTTTTTGTAAATTGTTTTCTCTTGTTATTTATTCTTGTATTGTATATTTCTAATTACTATCGCTATGTATGCAGCTATACTAATTGATTTATAAGTCAACTGTTGTAGCAGTCACAGGTTGCTATAGTGATATGATGCTGTATGTTAATTATAATACATAGTATTTTATCATTAAATTGGAACAGTTAATATATATTTAATTTTAATTGTTTTTTTCATAGGGCTCTGATACTTGATTTTGCTTCTGACATTGGAAGAAAAGAATTGGAATCCCTGAAACCAATATTAAAACCCCATATACC